GGTGATTGCGCCAGTGTGTGTGAGCATACAGGTCTCCAGTTTGTGTAGCCTGTGCGTCTGTAAAGGTTCAGTGACTGTAAGCTCCAGAGTTGTATCAGTAGTGTAACTAAGCTAGCAGCTTCCTAAAGAATCTGACTCATCTTCTGAAGTATCAAAGAGATCTGTGAGACAGCTCTCAGTCTGGCACACGCACACACGCATGCATGCACGCACACACACACACACACACACACACACACACATTGATATGTCCCTCTAAAAAACTAAAATAATCAGCTGCAGTACATTACAACAAGACTGTCAGAGGTTTCGTCTAAGGTAAAAACGTTTTGCAGTTCTCTCAGCACTGTGGTGGTTTCTTTCCTTTTGGGAATTCTAGTTTCACTTTAAGGAGAACACGTACTGAATGCACAATATTGCGGCGCAACATGAAAGAGGCAAATTCTTTGATCGCCCATGAGTGGTTTGGAAACAAAATTATTTCCCCAATCAGATCACTAACACTTTGGGAACCTTAACTTGAAATGGTTGAGACAGACGGGTGAAGAGTGATGTTCCAAACACTGAATAAAAGAGAGAGAGAAAGCTATACATCTGCTGCCTTTTCATGCTGCTGAAAACTGAAACACTTTAGGAAGACAGCAGATCTTTTAAGAACTTTCTATGAAACTGCATCTCACCTCATACTTATCATGAAGAATTTAAAAGTAATTTTAGTTACTGGCTACTACTACTGCAAGGGGTATGTCAAAACAAAAAGGTTGGGAACCACTGCACTAGATTATCATTGAAGGGCAGAGGTTGAAAGTGCAGTGTAACTTTAAATATTAACATAAGGTTTTGAGGTATAAGGTTATATTTTCATCTTCCAATTGTCTTTTAAGTAAAACAAAAAAAGTAATTGTCTCGTTTTGCAAATTATACACGTTGCCTGTACACTACTGGAGCTTTACTTCCTGTTTTGGCTCTTGACTTTGCACAGGAAGTAAGCATTTTTCTTCTTTCTGATTTTCATTGCGTTCACTGTATATGTGACCTGATGATAATTTAAACATGTGTTAAAGTAATGTATGGATCTATGTTTTGGCACTATATTTTATTCATTTTGATGGATAAATCTGCTAAATATGGAAAGCATGTGGCAGGGGTGCTGCAGTGACACTAGTGTGAATGTTTTCTACAGTTACAGTTGCCCTTGATAAATCCTTGCAATCAACATCTGGAACACAGTCTTGGGAAGTTTGATTCTTGTCTTGTACACAACCCAAGACAGAATTAGACCCACTGAGTATAATAATAAACATGATCTGCGCCATAAAGTTTTTGCTGTGATGAAAAATCTGTCTCCCACTAAGTAGCCACAGCTGCCAACAGTTGAGAGATTGCATGTCAAGGGAGCACCGCCGTCAAACGCAGCAATTGAATTGAGGTGACAGGATGGGCAGATGTCAGCTTGACAGACAGCAAATCCAAGCGGGCCCCTGATTAAGTTAATGACAGCAGCCATCATTCTAATGGAATTGTGTTCCTTCACAATTGCTGGCAAACACACACACACACCCAAATGCACACACTCACAAACAAATAAACACTTGCAAAGCATAGCCAGAAGAGACAAGCTGCCCTAGTGTAAAGAGAAATGCCACCAGTCAGAGAGGCGGTGTCTAGCCAGCTTATTTCAAGCACAACACAGCCTGAACTGTACAGCTGCAGGCGGTGGAAATACAGATGATTTCAGCAGGTTTTAAAGCGTTCTGGCACAATGTCTTACAGTATTCATCCAAAATGTCAATTTCAGACCTTTTTCTCTATGTCTTTTTCACTTATTGTTCTAAATGTAGCACTTTAAGCAATTCAGCAAATTTGATGAAGTCTGATGTAGTTGCGTGATTCTTTCAATTTGTGGGTTGCATCAACATGGCTGGATGCACTTTTTGTAAGTCACTTCGGATAAAAGCATGAGCTAAATGAACTTAATGGAATGTTTTGTTTTGTGGTGGTGTGATTTTATGTTTTCTGTAGACATACAGATAATGTGACATCATAATGAAGATCCAAAGGGAAAGAGAAAGATAAGAAAGGCAGCTTCTGTAGTTTATAAAGCAAACTGATTGCATTTTGGTTAAGAATAGGTGTGACTGGAGAAATTGGTGTCACTACCTACAGTATGGAATGGCTGGAGTGTGGTCAGGAAAATGCAGGACAGTTTATTAAACCAAAGCATCAACACTGGAAAAAACTACTTAGTGCTTTAAGGCGTGAATAAAATATGATAATCTGACCACAGGTCCGTGGGCCCTGCTCCTGACCAGGCTTTGCAGGTCTCACATTACTATGATATACAAAAAGTGGTCATGGGTAATCTGAGGGTTAGAGTATGTCATAAGTGTGACTTTATGATGGTGGTTTACCAAGCTTGGTTTAAACAACGGTGACCAAGGTTTTCATCCAATATACTACCAGTGTTGCTACAAGTAAACCATGATGCTCCCAGACACAATATTAACTCATCTAGCTTTGTCTTTTTTACCATATTGGTAATGCTAGCTATGTGGTTGAGGCTTGTGCTTCCCAACCTTTGTAAAATTATCGCTTGAGTGTTATAGGCTACTTCACAAGAAAAAAGCAAAACATTTTTATTTTATTATTTTAAGAAACATAATTTTGTGCACCAGATTTAGTTCCTTTCTTATTACTAATATTACATATCTAAACTAAAGGGGGCAGTTTCAAGGAAAAGGGGTATAACAAAAATGGCTTAAATCACAAAATAACAACAATAAAAATTGTCACAGTATCTGGAGGTGAAAAGTGTATGTACCACAGCACATAGCAGTGCTGTGTGAACATTAGGAGAGTGCTGCCTGTTGAATTGTGTACTAAGAGGCCAAGATCCTAATGGATAGGAGGTCTGTAATAGGCTTCTAGTCTTTTGAACGCTGCCTCATGGGAGGTGTGGCGTAGTGCACTCACAGACTTCTTACCACTCTCCCTCTACTCATCATCATTTCTCTCTCATACACATCAGGCCATTCAATATCTCACTTTCTCCTGGATAGAAAGCTATAACCTCTCACACAATCGCTCTCCTACATGATCACATCATTCTGTGTGAAATCAGTCCTTCCAAATGGAACAAGGATGGACAGAGAAAAGAAGGAGGGACGAAAGGAAGAGATGATGGAGGTGGTAAGTCAAAGAGACAGATTCTTAACCGCATAGATGGAAACCAGCACAGAGAAATATGAGATTAGTGTAGGTCCTTTCCCTACTCCCATTTCAATTCATGATTCAGCTAAGTGGACACAGCAACTATTTATGGTCCCTTACATAAATTGATCGCCATAAAGCTGGCTCAACTGCACTTCATTATACAGAACACCATTTACAGCAGCTACCAAGGCACCAAAGGCAATCTCCTCTTCAATGCTAATGCAGTGACAAGTAAACATACTTTTTTAGAGGAATAAAGAACATCAGCATATGGTGTTTAGCTATAAATATATATATAAAATATAAAAATATATAACATCCCTGCCTCCCTCGCTGTTTTCAGACTTCCAGCAAAGAGCTAAACAACTGTTATTAACTTGAGCAGTTGAAATACACAGCAGATGGTGTTGATAAAATGGAAGAATGGAGCCTGTAGTTTAACATCTCTATTCCGCTGCCATCAAGTCACTGAGCAGTCGTATCTCTCTCCCAAGGTGCGACACAACAACACCAAAAACTAATTGTCCCTCATCCCCGGGCAATTATTGGAATGTAAGAAAAACAAAATGCTTGGCTGGATTGATGGGGTAATCAATGACAACGTAACTATGGTAACGTGCTGTGTGACTTTAATTGGATATTTCTGGCTCTTGGACCCAGATTGATGGAGCCTGGGAGAGCCCGGAGATCCTAATTCAGTTGGCCAGATACTGTTGTGTTTAAACTAAGGAGCAGTGAAAGGTTGGATGGATCAATTTAGCTTGTTGTCCTTTGTAACTACATGCAAAACAGAGCCACACTAGCAGCTCGCTTACTTAGGCTGCTAACATCAGCATGCTTACATGCTCACAATAAAGTAACTAGGATTTATCCTCTAAGCACCCTGAATGTTTGTAGAAAGTTCCCTGGCAATCTATTAAATAGCTGTTGAGATATTTCAGTCCCACGGACCCAGCTGATCAGCATCTTCATCCCTGGAGTTACGTAGCTAGCATGGCTAAAAAAAGTGACGAATGAAGCAAACATAATGTTGTCAAAAGGTTGTACACTATAAACTGAATAACGATAGGTGTTCTGTTTGGCTAACACGAACAAAGGAACCAATTCAGACACAGCTCTTCCAAGGTCTCTGAATTGTCTAGTCAGCCTGTCAACAAGGAAGAGTTCCGCTACATGTGGTGAAAACTGTCAGAAACACTTCACTACAAAATGAAAGCATTTCTGTTCTGACAAAAGACCTATGAAAAGCAGCCTGTATGGATAAGGTATGAGGGCAGACTCGGCCTGGTCACAGGAAAGACGAAGGATTCCTGAAAGTTGATACTAAACAGGGTCATCGGTAAAAATACATTTTCAGAAAAGCAAAGTGATACAACACATACACACACAATGAAATCTTAGCATTTTGGCATGTTGCAACCCAGACTGGTAACTTTGAATTAAGTCATCTAGCTGGAGGATGTCTGCTTATATTGGATCAGTAGATGGCCTGAAGCAGTGGCTGCGTTCCAGTGTCTGTTCTGATGTGAAATGAGGAGAAGCAGACTGTTTCTGTGCGTTTCCTCTCGGCACTGTGCTTGGAGAGATGCTGGACCTGATCTCAGAAACAGAATCATTTCGCAACATAATTTGCATTTTATGTTCCTATCTCAAACTCAAACTCAAAAAGAAATAAACAGCTTTTAATGGTCAAGTTGATAACAAGAAGAAGCAATAACCAAATTCCTTCTCTGCTCAAGAAGCAGTGCTGCCACAAGATAATTTATGTGTTAGGAGGTCACACTCACCTTTAAGGCTTCAGAGCGGTTAGCCAGGAGTTTCTCAATATTCCCAGCTGCTGTCGCCACCAGTTCCCTTGCATTGTTGGACTCCACGGTGAAGTGAGGACTGTGTTTATGATATATCTGAAACAATTAGTGAACAAGAGCAGAGGTCAGGGGTCAGAGGTGAGCAAAACTTAAACTGAAAAAATCTATATGTCCTTCATAAAAGTCGTCATCAGTAACTCGGCATAACCAGACTGGAATGGAGGGTGTGGTCCATCCCCAAAATCATAATGTCAACCTATAGTTTGGTATATATAGCCAATATTTTCACATAAACGTGTAGTGCAAAACTATGTGTCATTTATATGTCCCCCAAGCACTTGATCCCTTTCAGCAGATATGCCCACACAGGGATAATCACTTGGTCGTCATCAGATACGAACATACTGCAGAGATGTGATCATTTTTTAAAAGGATCTTCCTCAAGTTTTCTCAGTCTTCAGATATTTTCTATCCACAGATGTCCTGCGTTTGAGGCTGAGAATGTTACTTTGCATCAGCGGTCGTCTTCTACTCGTCATCAGACCTCACTGACCAAAGCACAGTGATTTAAAAAAGGAAGCTACATGTCCACTGATTAAATTGAGATGTCGGGTTATGTAACCAGACCATTTACTGTTCCAGCAAAAGAAATAAGAAACACAAATGCCAAACAGCCAATTATTTAGCAGCCTAGAGGGATTTCATTGTCCGACATTCAAACCACAGAACTGAGGCGTGTTCATGTATTTGTCTTCATCCTCCAGGCGTCCGATGGATTTTGCTTTAATGCAAGAGAAATAATAATAGTAATACTACTGAATTTTAGATTTTGACTATGTTATATGACAGTATGCAGGATGATTTCCTTGGAATTCCTATATTTAATCTGGATGTTGTGCTCATGTTATAATGTGGTTTATGGGGTGTCCCAGTGACAAATAAATGGTGTCTACCAATAACAATATTTAAAGGCATTTCAGTTGTAATTTACAGGATGAACTGTACTAACAATGAGAATCATTTCTCCACATCTATTAACTTGCTAGCTGCATAACCCTTTAAATTCTAAATGCTGTGTTAAGTACATTTTGGTTAAACAAGGGTGTCGCCAAAAGCAAAATCTTCTACAGCAACATTGAGGATTCAGTTCCACAAAATATTGACACATCTAATTCTCATTTCTGCTCGCATATCGTGTCACCACATCAAATAAATTTTTTTTTGTAATGATCTTAGTGATGCTTTAAAGCCCTGACTGATTTCATTCTCAAAGGGAGTGGGGAGCAAGAGTGCCAGATGCATTATGTCAATCAATGTGCATCTAAAAAGCTTCTTCTCTTTTATCAGATGTGGGCTTGTGCATGTGTGGGTGTGTGAGTGTGTGTGCAAAGACCGTGGCCATCACGGTATAGTCGTGACACTGATCTTATCTGAGCGTGTATATTGGGCTGGCAGAATGAAATGATGCAGCATTGGGTCTAATGAGCAGATACTATATATAGACTGGTGATGTGTTGTGACAGCTGACGATGTGCAAGGAGGGTTAATGAGAGTAAGAAAAGTAAGTGGCAGAAAGTACACACGATAATTGTTGACAGTACTAAATCTGTGTAATTGTTTTATTTAAAGTTAAAATTAAGTTAAAATGTAATTAGCTAGGAAATCAATATATATATCTCCATTGTGTTTGTTTATTTATTTGTGTTCTTGTGTAGTAGCACCGCCTACAACAGTGTTCTCCAGTCTTCTGACAATGTTGATACTGGTGATTACTGGTGGTGATACTGGTAGATATTAACTGGTGCAATATAAGGGGGCACTAAAAATAGAGCAGCTGACCAGCTTAAAGGCCAACGTTTAGTACCATTTGTGTGTTTCTGACAACTCCCTATAACATTTTTATTTTTCTGTGATTGTGTGTGTGTGTGTGTGTGTGTGTGAAAGTCATGCTTACCTGTATAAGGTTCTTCATACCACTGGCTGTATCTGTTAATGTGATCAACTCTTTTTGCATCTGGTCCACCCATTCCTTTATTCTAAGAACACAAAGAACAATCAATTAGCCAACTGATCCCCATGTAATGCAAATCTTCCAATTGACTTGTACAGTCTAAAATATATTCGTTGAGCTGCTCTAATCTCATTCAGCCCAGAGTACAGCCCACGAGATCACATGACCTCAGCCAAGTATTACTGCTTACTATCACAATATGCTAAAAAAACTGTATAGATTGAAGGGAGGGGAAGCATGAAATAATAATGTTTAACAGTTAAGTGAATACATTGCTCTACTCCAACATGAACTGTGCATTAAGGCGAGAGCTATTCATAGTTTGTCAGCATGAGAGTGACACATCCTCGGGGGTGAGATGTTGGTTAATGTATTATTCTGATGAGAAAGAGGACAGAAAGGAAAGAGAAAGAGACAGAAGGGACAAGAGAAACAAACATAATTTATTAGAGTTTAAAATTTCTTTTACATAACTTTTTTTCACACACAAGTAAAAATATATTTTAATGTTGCATCTTAAAAAGCGCAGCATCAAGAACTACTAGTAGTATGCTATGACCCCTGTGTGAATGTATGTGTGTCTAAAAACATCTAAAAAACAATCACCAGGATGTCTAAACTGCTATAAATTAATGTTATGTGCTGTAACTTAGCCATGAGGTTTTTAAGGACACCTGTTCCATAAATGGAATCCCTGACATTGAGTTCAGTTCAGGCTATGTGCGGGCATGCATGAGTGTGCATGGTGTCTATGTGAGACCATACCCACTATACCCCATCACTGTCAAAACACCAATGACTCTCTTTCCTTGGCAGGTGAGATGTGACACAGCTACACACGCAGGGATGGACTGTGATAAGAATTCAGGCTGGGAATCCAATGTCAGTCCAGGTTCTCCACATTCTCTCCATTCACAACAGACAACGTATAAAAAAAAGTGTAAAAACATCACATTGTGGTTTTAAAGGGGGTGCCAAAACGATTTGCTTTTTATATTTTGGTTTAGGTTAGCTGCTTCCAGTGTTTGAACTTACTATACAAACATGACAGCAAAAGCAATGTCTACAAATCCCTATTGTAACCACAATACTCAACCTCCTGCTGCTCAACAACACAACATGTTCTGAACCCTCTGAAAACAATACACTGTAAGTACACCTAACCATCCCACCCCCCAGCTCTTTTACAACAACCAATAAAAAATACATGACATAATCCATAAAGCAAATTACCCATTCTCCCCCACAGTGAGAGTCAACTTTGTCACCTTCCACATGGCTGAGGGGCCTTTGACATACGAACCCCGTCTATGTTATCGTATTTAAAAAAATACAGTGTAATGTGAGCAGGGTTGGCTCATGCTGGAAATGCATAGCATAGCAGCCACATATATTTAGACTTCTGAGAGACAGCTGAGGGCAGATATAGGATGGGCTCTTTCTATCCCCTATACAAACACATGCACATATATTAATACAACAAAGAGTAGATGCTGACTACTGTATACAGGGCCAACTCCAGGGTCAAGATAAGGTCCACTAACCATAGTGAGCAGGTGTGTATTAGGGTTGTTATGCACATGACTTTTTCAAATAGGCCCAGCTGGCCTAAAGCAAGAAGGGTGGGCCAGTACAACAGGTGTCTAATACAAAAATGGTGAGTGTGTGTGGGTATGTAATTATGCTTCATGAAAGGAGGTTCATTATTTGTCCACTGTTTCAACAAATGGTCACTTTGAATCCTTTTTCTTTCCCCAACACATTTTCTAAAAGTACTACAGCATATTCTCATCACATCTACTGTAATTGTGAGCCATTTAGTGTTAGAGAACACACATCCCAAGTTTCTGATCCAAGTTAAGCATGGACTGCTCTGGTCATGAACTAGCTGACACTAATCCTGTGTTTGCAGAGCTTCTTCCCTAATGAGGAGAGGACAGCAACAATAAAACACGATCCAGGGAAAGTGCCTAACTACACTAGTTTTGGTTAAAAGGGATTAGTTCCTTCACTTGTCTGCAGCAGCTTGGATGTTTCTACATCAGGTGAGCTTGTAATATAATCAAATTCACTGGCTAATGCTACTTTATTTGAGCCAGGATTTTGAAAACTCTCTAATCTTGGTTTATTACAGTCTCCTGGGTAAAAACTGAAAGGCTAAACAGTGTTCTGATTAGCCACTTCCACAAATAACCATCTTCCTCTTATCAGTAAAAGGGCATTCATTCCATGCATAACACCAGGATGTGTGACCTCCTCATACGTGATGAAAGAGTTTACTGTACTTTTCTTCAAGAATAGAAGCAGACTATGAAAATGGTATTTAAAGAAAAGTGCAAAAAAAAAAAACTACAAAAACATATGATGAGAGGATGGAAACTTCGAGCAGGACATGGAAAAATGAGATAGCATCATTATCCCCTCCCATGCTCAGCTCCAAATTCTGCCCCTCTGCCCCCCCCCCTTCTCACTCTCTCTCCCCTTCTCCTCAGGGAAATTGTAGAGGG